CTCTCTCTCTCTCTCTGAACGCGGATTGTAGACTGGGCAGAAAGGTCGCGAAACGATAGACCGTAGATACGCGTGCTGAGAAAGTTTCCGATCACCAGCTACTGTGCTGGAGCGCGTAGACGACCTCATTATGGGAAGCTTGGCGCCGTTTTAGTTCGAGGGGCTAGAGACGAGAAGGCTTTATCGCTGTCCTATGGGGAAGAAGCCACACGTAGCCGAGATACGCTGAACGACTTTCGACTCCTAGATACTCAAATCAAGGGGAGAAGACTCTAGTGTCAGAGCGATGTTAGAGAAATCCTGTGATTTGATAGGCGGTGAACGAGTTGTCGGGACAGTTGAGTCTTCTCTTCTTCCTCCGTGTTGGCCATTCAAAACGGGCGAACCATGTTGACGGGTGAACACCTTTCGGAGATTCATCAAAGGCTATGATGGGGCTAATAGGTGGGAAAAGCAATGACGGTGTCGTGCCCAAAGCGAATCAAAGCCATTTCAGCCCTGATTTAGCTTAAGAATGAAAGCGAGCCCTGGAACCTCACGTCGTAGTCTCCACAGAGCTATTGCGGGGAAGAAAATATTTACCAGTCAACGTTCGTTCCTATGGCTAGGGCTTGTCAGATCGCATGGTCGCCGTACCTGATTTCAGTGGTCCTGTATGCGCAAGCGAGAGAGACGGGCGTCACAGCAATCTTGCACCTCAGCTGTAGTCCAGTCTGCCCAGATTTCACGCCCCTTCATAATCACCTCCAGTGAAGTACCAACAAAACTGACCGTGTGTGACATATTGGGCGCCGCCCTGGTTTCGAAACACTCCCCTACAACATCGGTGGCCTGTCCACAGCCGTCTGCCGAAAGCAATAACTGACGCTGGGGGACACGAAAGTGAATGGCGAATGAACCTGTTAACGGTTCATCTGCCCGTGCGTTGACATCAGACACATGAATGTGAGCCGCCTGATCTCGGACCTGATTCCGTTCTGGCGCACCCCTCTACCGCGGTCGTCTCCAGCCACACCGGACTTGGCCTTTAGTCCATCACCGCAGCCTCTAAGCGACCTGCAAGAAAGCCTGACAGCGCTGAGAAGGCGGGTCGATCGCCTGGAGATAGAGTTGCAGGGCCTAGAGAGACAGGGCATGTCCTCCTACTCACAACAGGATAGGCGTGCCAACTCGCAATATCCAACGCATTCAGCTCCTACCGGGGAAGTGAGCGATGGTCTTCTGTTGTCGGATGAAGCCCGTGTTCGTGATGGATCATATCGTGGTGACGGAGTTCAAGGTGGCCGCGAAAAGAGGGAATTTAGCGAGAACGATTCTCGCCCCTCCACCTCACGTGGGCGTCGCAATAGTGTGGTGTCCACGCATCCAGATTCCGACATGACAGATACCACCAACCCTGACTTGGCCGAGAAACGCTCAAAGCCCGGTGCCACGACGTGCAGAAACACTCGCAAGGTGACCCCAAGGCCACCCGAATCAAACGAGCGTGATGCCGACGGTATTCCGACTGCCGGCTCACCAGAGGTTTCATTGAGGGGCAACACCGACAGATTGACGAAGCAGTCCCTCGGGCGAAGCAAAAGCAAAAGCATAGTGCGGGAAGTACAACGCCGGATTCGATTTCGCCAAAAGCGTGCTCGACGGAATAGGAACTTAGACAAGACCTCGGTTATCCTATCCTTACGAGGGAGTGTCAAGTGTTCGCAGTGCCGGCGCAAGGTTCGCCCTAGTAAGGCTTTCGTGCGAGCCAAGTCTCGAGTGAGTAATAACAACACCGGTGAATGCAGGGTTGAAGGGTGCTCACAGTGGTGATTTAGACGCCAAAGCAGCGCGGATCGAAACAGGCGATATCGCCCACGATCTAGGGGAAAGGAGACCTTAACTCTGCTAACGGGCGTTGTGGCGACCGAGGAGTCAAACGAGCGCAATTCCTGCCTGACGATTACGAACGTGTTCAGAGATGTCCAGATAGATCCATTATTCATCGACCTAGGAGAAAAGGCTCGTCGGATGGTGGCTAAAGCCCTACTTGATTTCGAGATTTCTCGGTACGGGATCAGCACGCCAAGTTCCGATATCAGGAGGACCATCTCGCCCATTTCTGTAAGACTTCAGGCCAGGTATGAAGTATTGATGTAATTCTCGTCTTCGACCTGGTCAACGTAGATCAAGAATGTTAAATCCGATATCGGTACAAGGGGTTATTGCCGCTCCCAGAGTCTCACAGTCGCTCAGAGGAATCTGTGTCGGAGGCGACAGCGCGTGCATTGCATCTCCCCCCTCGCTTCCTCAAATCTATATCCTTTGTAGTTGTCACGAACCATTTGAGCCGTGACCTTGAGCTTCAGTGCGAAAGCCACTGCTGACGATGTGCAGATGTCGGCCATAGACGCGCGCCCGAAGATCAGGTGGAGAAATCTCTTCGCCGATTGCCACTGAAGACAGCATAAGGGAGAAGGGCAACCTATTTGGCGTTGACTGGTCGGCTCAACAGAATCCATCATTTCGACTCTAGGACTAGTCGAGGATTCCATAAAAGGGTATACGAGAAAAAGGCAAGGGGTAGACAAACGGTGAAGCCCAAGGTCGGGAATACCCTGGGTTCTTACCTTGATCTACTACAGTGCTGATCCGCCAACAATCTTCGATATCCCATCTTGTTGCCCTAGCCCAGGGGGTGATACCTTCCTCTGATGGCATTGTTCCGAGTTTGACTTACAAGCAAAACTTGAAGTAATCAGCCGTCTTTCATTATACACTGATCAATGAGTTCACCGGAAACAAAATTCCAAAATGATCGGTGAGCCACCTATAAGGCGCATCAATTACTACGAAAAGGCGAGACAACGGTGACGAGAGCGCTTTCGGAAAAGGGGAAGTCAGGCCCTGTGCGAGCACGTGATGGCGTGCGTACTACATGCCCTCCACTTGTCTCAGATAAATCAGACTACGGTTAGCAGGTGCTAGCGCACTGAGTTGGCGCGCTAACGCGCGTTGACCAATCAAAAAGTTAGGCTAACTT